AAGAATAATTTTGTAATATTTTAGTGGGAAAATTGTCTAAGCCTAACTTCAACCCCATGTTTAACATCGAAGATCAGTTTTAGATAATTCCTAAGATGCATTACTTTAAGATTTTCAGATGATATTAAAAAATTACACGCTGTAGGTATAGGAAACGTTGTTTTATAAAAATATTATTACAAAATAGATAAAAAAAAAAAACACTACATATTTCCCGTTTTAACAAACTACCAACCTACGAAATTAGAATCCGTTTTTTGGAGCTACATGATTAAATAAATCCAAGAACATTGAAAGCTACATTTGCACAAAAGCTTCATTTAAACCACACGGGTTAACATGTACGTGTGTTAAATATTCCATAAAAAAGTGCATGAAATTAGAAAGGTTTTAACGTAAACATTTATTGCACAGTAAAAAATGTAGGTAGAATCAGAAACGCGTTTTCACGTGTAAATCTGCCACCTGAACGTATAATGAACGCGTTTATCAGCGCGTTACAAGACAAATCCCCAATATTTCACAAAACTACTATCCGAGCCATCAACCTCAAATCGATCAACAGGTGTAATCCTGCCATCGATCACAGAACACTGCCTCTTTAATATCGGAAGCGAACATCTCGTTTGTTGGCGAACCGAGTCTTTCTGCAATCATTTTGAGTTGTTTCACAAAAACAGATTCTCAGTTGTTGAGAGAAAACAAAATAATAAAAACATTTTAAATGCAATTTTTGAATGATAAAGTTTATCTGATCCATCTTTGTCTCAACGAACCATTGCTTATTATTATTGTGTTTTTTTTACACGAATATGTGTTTTAAAAAACAGTTTTCAGTTTTTACAAGAAAATTCTGGGTTTCCAAGATGTTGCGTACACATGTTTGAAGCACCGTTTTAAACATTCGACCAATGTTACATTCAATAGTCACAGTTGATATCAACTTTAGATTAATTCTCTCAACACGATCGGTTGTTCTTTTAACGTTTTAAATACGTTATGATAGCAACACTATTTTTATTTTGTTTGAATTTGTATTATTAAGATAAATAAAACAAAGCAGCTGATCTCATAGAGACAACTCGATTCTTTTTTCGGTCCATGAATTAAAATACTCTCTAAACATGTTTCGTATGAAAAAAACCTAATGCTCGCCGTAAAACTAGAGCTCGTCCAATGGTAGAAAACTGGACCAAAAATATGTAATGTACAGGCTTCTCTATTTCCACCCCACGCTGTAAATAAAACATGTGATTGTAATTTCTTCCACTTGTTTAGATTTTCTGTTTTTTGTTGTTATTTCGTCACCAGGATGAAACGTTATTTTTATAAATTAATTATTTAATTAAGTTAATTAAAATTTAATTAAATTAAATAAAATTTAATTAGATTAATTTAAATAAAAATTAAATTAAACTAATAAAAATTAAATTAAATTAATCGAAATCAAATTAAATTAATTAAAATTAAATAAAATAAAATTAATTTAATTCTTAACTAAATTAATTCGTCGTTAATTTTTATACATTTAAAATTCACTTTTTGTGCTTTTTTAGAGTCTATTTTAATTTATAAAGGGATTCTGCACATCTATAGGAAAATATCTTTCTAACAATATGCGTAGATTTTCCCTGCTATGTACCCGAGTCGAGAAAAAAGGTTTTAAAGAAACATGCTTGCCTATTAATATATAGATTGAATAGTTATAATGCTTGATACTAATTCTAGTGATATACAATTTTATCCGTCATCGTCTACATTTGTCTAATATGACAAAACATGTTTCCATTCTAACTTTTTCCAATTTTCAGTAATAACATGAAAATTTCCAGGTATCTTAAGAAGCCCAAGTTTGACTGCCAATACAAAGTTTATGGTTATTTTAGTCAAGCAGTATTTCTCTGCTGTTTCAACTTTTTAAATTAAGCTTGACAACTTTGCCTTCAAGTTACCAAGTTTATTGAAGAGCTGGTTGTTTAAATTCGAAGTCTTTATCTCTATTTCTTCATTTACCAAGATGCTTTATTACTCACCATGACATCAATAATTTATTTATTACTGTACTTTATTTATCTCGTTAATATACTATGTTTTAATTTTAAGGCCAAATGTTAAGTTGTTAAAGGTTTATAACTAGGGTTTATACTGTAAGGCTTTACGTCCACTATAAATATAAAAATATATAATTTCCATAAACAATTTCAAACCTAATTGGGCACGAAAAATACATTTAGCATTTAGGTCTCCCATTTTAATTCTTCAGCATTAACAACAGACTTTAAAAATTTGCATAATTTATTCATACTGAAACAAAGAGATATGAAATACAAATAATTGAACTTGTAGTGACAATAATTATTATATAATTAGTGACGTAATTATTATCGTCACCAACTACGATTTATTACGACTGTCATAGTATTTATCCTTTAGTTAAATATTTACAAATGTTTAATTTATTGTACCTAAATTTACTATAAGAATGATGTAATATTTTTGTTAGAAACTTTTCAAACCCTTTTTATTCCAAAACTTGAATAATATTATTCATTAAAAGTTATTTAGTTTAAAGAAGGTGAAATTTCTCCGATAATGGAGAGCCTTCTCTATCAAACATATTATACTCGGTCGATTTTAGATTGAAAGTAGTTGTATATGTTGAGCTTGAAAAAAAGGTTTCAGAAGTTTCTTTGAATAATTTAGAAATGTAGAATCTCTTGCCTAAATAGACCATTCGAATTTTTAATCGATAAATCTTTCTACAATAAAAAAATTCGTTGAACAAATTTATACATTTACTATTAAACTTTGGATTAAGCTCTACAGAGTTGAACATACCGCATGATTGACACAGGGAATCAAATTCCTGGTTTGTTTTGCCTAAGCCACAAATAGACATTGGCAGAGTTACCGGTTTGGTCGACCAACTGAACATTCGGATAACATGTTGAGCATTTGGCCGCTCAAGGTGAGTGGCAGACGACAGAGTGAGAAAAACTTTGATTGAGGCCAGACGAAAATGCCAATGAGAAAAAAAGGTTCCAGCATGAATGATCAGATTGAAACATAATGTAACCTATCAGTAAAATGCAAAGCGAAATATACGAAACGAGGACATCCAAATAAAAAAAAAAATACCCCCGTCGCAGCAAACCTGCATACTAAGCGAATTTCCATTTACCCGGCTTGATTTCTACTAAAATATTCCCTATAAATTTTCAGATTTATTTCCATTTTTAAATAACATTAATTTTAGTGAGTAGTTAGGTTTGCTGCTACGGGGAAGATGTTGAGGTGTGTTTTTTTCAATTGAAATATTGATAGCTTAGTATGAAATAAACCAAATTGCCAAATTTGATTAAAATATATCCATAGACAAGCAAACTAGAACAGTTTATTTATTCTCCATAAGAATAACATGGGAATTTTAAATTTAAAATTTTTTTAATTTTCTCCGTAGTCAATGAACATTCAAAAACACTTCAATATACTAAATTATTTGTTTTTTTAAGCTCTTTAAAATGGTCTAGAGAGAAATTTAGAAATTTAAAGTTTTTAGGGTCAAAAATGAGAAAAACCCATTTTTACCCCATAAAACCCCCCATAAACCCCTGATCCCATGGTCCGATTATGCTGGTTCGCGAACTCGTTCGAATAAATGTAGGTTTACACGTTTGTACCAAATTTCATCAAAATCAGATCAGTTTTGCTCGAGTTATCGCGCTAACGGACACATATATAAATATATATATATATATATATGAATTTGAACGGATGGTGTTTTTGGCCTCTGGGGACCTCAAAACGAAAAAGTAAATCGGTCCCGGGTCTAGGTCTTACCATGAGACCTACGGTAATAGCTTATTCCCTATATGGGAAATTCGCTAAAAACATCATAATCCATCTGAGAGATTTTCAAAATATATTTATAAAACTAAAATAGATGATTTATAGAGACATATATACATTTTCTGCCACGTAAATATTTCATTATGTTTTTGATGTAGGTAATGCATTTTTTGTTAATTTTGCTGAATAAACGACTTATGACTTATGACGTGGCCTTGTAATGGAATGATGTGCTTTATGCTCTTAGGAATGCTTTTAACTACAATATGAAAATTGGAAAGTAAGGAAAAACTTTAACTCAACCCAAAAATTTAAAATACGTTTATTTATTTATTTGTTTTATTTTCGTTTTCATGTTTATTTGTATTTTATCATCTGAATAAAAACGTAAACTCTATGGTTTGGTTCAATATACTTATATTTATAATAGCATTTCTCATGATTGAAATGTTTTCTTAACTATAAAACTGAATACAGTAATCACTCAAATTAAAGGTCACAAGTTAAAGATTTCGTTAGCATAGAGATAAATCCAATTTTAAAATGTCAGAACTAAATTAATCTCTCGCGTATGTGTAATAAAACATTGGTAAAAGACAACATTTTTATATGGTTATCAACAAAAAACCAACGAATCAATTACTGTAGTTCACCGAATATTGTGATCATTTATGTATGCTGACAATTGAATGCGGAACAACCGTACCCAAATATAACATTCACCCACTCCAAGTTAAAATCAGATGTTTGTCTAGTCCTTGATCAACTGTTGTTTGCAGTGGAAAACATCGCATTTAGAACAGTCTGGTGAATAATATTGGCTGCACTACTTTAGTGCTTAAAATAGTCATTTATAACCTAAATTGACTTTCGGTTCAATAAAAGCTCGTAAATACCTCTATTTAGATGGACTTTAACACTCATTTATTATTTTACCTGTAAAAACAGTGTTTCGATTCAGGTTTCAGGTTTCTTCCAACTTAAAAAGAAAATTAATTCTTAGAACAATTAATTAACTTTTTATGTTGTGTAAAATATTAGTCACAAAATCCATGCAGATACGAAAATTTCATTGAATCCTGACAACACGATCAATAATATTATGAGGTTGTAGTAAACTAAATAAGGATAATGATTGAAAATCAACTTACTGTTTTTGGGGCACATTGGTGAGGCTGACGAAGTTGTTCCTAACGGAGCGAAGGCTTGCCAGGATTTGGGCGAAGGGAGTAACGATGAGGTCCTCGCCATGGCTGAAAAAGAAAAAAAACCTTTCAGTGATACAACAGAATAGGCCTTCTATGTCAGTAAACTGCAACACAAGGTCAGAGCAAAATCAGCTGTAATAAAGGGTAGGTAAAAAACAGCTGTGAAGCTTTACGAACTGACAAACAATTATGTTTACTAGACGATGTTGTCAAGAGAAAATACAACTGCAAATATCACATGATAAATGAGACGTGATTAAAATTTGTTTGATTATTTTTTACTTTGCCTTACTAAAGTTACCTCCAAATATCGAAACAAAGAAATGTTAAATAGTAAACTATGGATTCCAGTTTTTTAGTTACCACACAAAGATTAAGGTTCATATTGAATAAGAGATACTGTATGCGCTCCTAAAATCCTCTAAAGGACATTTCCTAAAAATGGGATTCTTTAAATGTGAAATATAAATAAGTTTATTGTGAAAAACAGCACAAATATACCTGGTTAGCACACATATTGATGTACAGATTGGTGCACTCATATAAGGAGATCCTTTTAAAAAGTTTCAGCTCAAATCATGAAATTGAATTTTAAACTAAATTCAATCAGTTTTGCAATGCTCAATAAGTTTAGATATATTTCCTTAGCCACAAATATAGGCTAATAACTAACAGGCCGTAACTAATAGTCTACGGTTCTACAGTCAAAATTATATTTAAAACAAATCTGTATTTTGTTAACCAGACAAACGTCTAGAAGAGTTCTCAGTTTCCATAAAAAATAGAGCTCCTGGCGAAGTTATGGATGATTTAAATTAACTATTAATTCACTCCGTATTGATAATAATTTATTTTTAATGGAAATTCCCTTTGTATAGTTTTTACTTCAAATATCCAAACTTTTTACTTCATTAAAATAACAATATAATACAACATTGCTAAATACAATCAATTATACAAATGGACTTAAGTTTTATACACTAAAATAAAATTTCAAAAAATAATAATAATAAATATTATAAATGAATAAAAAAAAAATAAAAAAAACTACATTTGTTACTAAATTGCTTAAATAAAAAAATGGGATGCACAGTGTATTTCAGTAAAACAAAAATTGAATGTAATTGGAAATGTACCAACGATGTGGGTGTAGTTGACATTTTGACAAAACGTTCGGAATCCCCAACATAAGCAAAGTTTTTCAATATACCATCATTTGCTTAGTTCTCTTCAGTTTGAAACTAGATAGCAAACCAATTATAAACGTTAATTAAAAACAAAATTACAGTTCACCATTTTTATTTTATCTTTTATGAATGTTTATCATGTTGTGTATACAATTTTACGAGTTTGTTTTATAATTTAGTTCCATGATGGAAAAGAAGGAATAAAGCAGATTATTAAAATGAATATAGTTTTGTAAATCTAACTGCATAGTTACATTTTGCAATGATAGTAAGAAAGGTAGATTTTATTTTAGCACTTTTATTGCATTATTTTTAGCTCGATAATATACATTGAATAAGAAACATACAGAATGCCCCATAAGTAAACAGCCGAACTCCGGCAAATGGTGGAGGTTTCAGCCAAGAATGAAATTTTGTCCAAAATCACTTCGTTAAAAATATTAGCGGTTTAGTATATTTTAAACGCACCATTTTATATTTTATATTTTTTTCTTATAGATATTTATGAAACTTAGTATGTGTTGGGAGGTTAGAGGGGCCTAGGTTAGAAAAAATATACTGGGTTTAAATCAAATTTCAAAATGGCGGCCATTAATCAAAAGAATTTAAATTACTAAATAGTATTTGATTTTTTTTAGAAATGTCAAGAAGTTTTTTTTATCTGGCATTCAAAATTTCCTATCAAACGAATCCAAGATAAAAAAATATCAAATAAAATTGCTAAAATATTACGACTTTTAGTTATAAGGCAAAATGAGGTACATCCTGGCTATCTTAGCCTTATTCTGCCTCAATTTAGAAAAAAATCGTCACATTTTAGTTATTTTTGTATTTTATATTTTTGAAATTGTTGTCATTTGATAGGAAACTCTAAATGCTAATTACAAGTTTTTTGACAGTTCTCTTAAAATCAGCCATTATATTACCAAAACTAAAATTGCCACCATTTAAAAATTTTGAATTGGACCAAATTTAATTGTTTATTACATAGTTCTCTTTCACCTCAACATGCACATCAAGTGTTATAAAGATCGGTTGAAATAATTCAAAGATAAAAAATATCTAAAAAACAAATTTGTGGATATCTGGTTACGAAGCACTTTTGGAGATATTTCGTTCTTGAGTTCACATTTTTTGACTCAAAGAATCATTTTCCGGAGTTGACCTATTTACTTACCGGACACTTAGAATATCAACGAAAACTTCCAAACAATTTTTAGGTGAACAAACCTTTACAGTGTAAAATATTTTCCTTCAAACGCTTCACATAGGATTTGACACGTATATACATTGGAGTAGATGAAGTAATTTTGTAAAATAAATAAAAAATGTTATCATTCAATGTGGATAACCTATACATAATAATTTATAACCTACAGCGGAGTAAGGCAAAGCAAGTTTATAAACTTATCAGTTTAGTAAGATATGCAGTTTATCAGCTAAAATATTCCTTTGCATATCAATACAACAGAAAGATCACGTGCACGTATCGGATTCCACAATGATTGAGAGGTAATATTATATTGCAGAACAGAAATACACTGTCGAACTCAATATAAATATCATAAATATTCAAAGTGGTCGGTATTTGTTGATACCTTGAATGTGATTATATTCAGAATGATCTATTCAGGTTTATACCAACCTTTAAAAGATTGCTCCAAACATTTTATATTAAGTAAGAGCATATATTCACTTTTCTCTATAATAGGAAATAGCCGTAGTGATTAATGTTGAGCGAGAAGATCATTTAACTTAGTTAAGCCAAATTTAAAACTAGTATTAAACATTCAAAATACATTTCGTTAATTAGTGCAACCTTTTGCAATTAGAATAGAATGGCAATAGTTGGCTATTTACCTGGACTTTTATTATTGGATTATTTTATTATTGGCAATTATTGGACCTTTACCTCAACGGGTGGGATATATTGACTAATACGCAACATAACTTTTTAAGGAATAATATTGTTGGCCTTTTACTCCTGCTTGAGCCTCCATCATGTGAAGACGTGCCAATTGAGTTTTCCTACCCTCTCTACTTGTAGTAAATTATATTTTCTTTAGGCGGTTCTCGTTTCTTGTTTTGAGTTATATAGCTCTGAGCGGTTTTCCTTTTTAGGTTTTACAGATTTGACAGGATTTATCTTATCTTGTTTAGTTTTTCTCACACGAACACGGGATAGGATTCAAAATCTTGAAACGTTGAAAAAACTTCTCGTTTACTGGTCGTGAAAAATATTGTCTAACATTTGGTCTTCCTTCAGCCGCCACTTTGTGCAAAGTTGGGTTTACCTACCCTCCATCTTTTGTACATGCCTTCCAGCATCTTTGTTTTGACCAACATTCAGTTTTTACGTGGTTTATTTGTTTGCCATACATGTTTGGTTGGGTTTAAACTAATCACGTTTTAAATACTTGCCCACATGGGCGAGCATGGCATCTGATTTGATATATTAAACGTAGCAAAAAAGGTTTTTTTACTGATCGTGAAAATACACCCAATAACCCCTCATAAAAGTTGCTAGTTTTGAAACAATTTATTTTTTACCCCTCATAAAAACGTAGATAGAAATAAGCCACGGAAGGGAAGTGCTTCCGTTTCGAGTGGTCAACAGAATTGAAAAACTTTCTTGCCTTGACTTTCGTCCTGGTGCGGCCCTAAGGGAAAACTCATTGCAGCTTTGAGTAAAACAACAAAATTGGAAACTTTGAATAAGGCAAAAAATCGGTTCTATCAAGGGAGTCCACGGTTTATACTTTTTTCACTATGGATCTTGTATATTTGTTTGAATTGTTGTGTTTTCATCTTTTAAAATTCCCTGTTGAATTTTTTTACGTTCAATGATTTTTTATGCTACCTACAAATTTCCTGTACTGACAATCTTTTATCATATACATTCATCAACTAGGCAATCACCGTAAATCACCTGCGAACGAGAAAAAAAGATCCATAAATTGACGATGTTGTGTAACATATCAAGTTTCACAAAAAGGTTCCTTAAAGGTATAACCGTCACTTATATATTTACAACTCAAATTTATTGGTAAGCTTTGAGTAAACCACACATACCACATTTTGAAAATATTTTTGTAGATAGCGTAAACTGAATAATTTGATATGATGAATTATTGAAAATAAATTTAAAATGAAAACAAGAGCTTGTCCCAAACTCGACCAAAAGTATGTTTTGTGCAAACTTCTCTATCTTCACCCCACGCTGTAATGAAAACATGTCTTTGGAATTTTTTCTATTTGTTTTGATTTTCCGTTTATATTTTGTGGTTATTTTGTTACCAACATAGCAACCCATAAGCCCCATATTTATTTTTTTAATTTTGAATAATTTTTTTCTGCTTATTTTTCAGTCCATTTTAATTTATAAAGGGATTTTAATATATTAACCTACAGGAAAATATCTTTCATTTGGTACCAACCGCGTGTATTTTGGTCCAGTAGTATCGTCAGGCTAGCTGTCTTCAGTTTTGCAAAGGTTTTTTAGTATATAAGATAGTAAAGAAGTGCTCTTTATTTTGTTTACTCCCTACAAGGAAAATAACTAGGGCCCAATACTTATTGTGGATAGTTTACTTGAATAAAACACCTTAAGTAATATTACGAAATAAACAGTGTAATGCGGAGAATAGAAAACAATTTAGCTACAAATACTGACATTGTGAAACAAATGTAGGATAAATGGTAGAGTTAATTGAAGCAGACTCACTAGTGGTTGGGGCCTCTCAATTACAGGCGAGTACAATGAATTAACAAGAAGGTAGGTTCGCCGCCAGTCCTGTGCATTTGTAATGTCTTGTCTTGTGTTGAGGATGCAATTAATGTTTCTGGCAGAACGATTAA